AAAAAAATGAAAAGATACTTTAAATGTGAAATTTTAACTGTCAGTAGGTGGCAGTGAGTCACTGTTAATAAGTGAGTCATTGCGATTGAACCGAATCATTTAAACGGTTGACTCATTCAGGAACAAAACATTGTCATGTTACTCAAAGACGCAAAACAGCGCTGTGGCTTTGTTTGGACATATTTTTGTTGGCGAAATAGTGCAAAAACAGGCAATATGGTCTCTAAAACGTAAGTCTCTTAATAAAACCTCTAGTTTATTGAACTGTTTTTAAAAAATCAATATCACATTTGTATATGGTCATTTTTGGAGAAAAAAAGAGGCACTATCACATTTGTATATATTAACTATATGAAGTGGTATAAATATACACATTTTCTGCCCCCATGTCTTGTATTTGTGATCATTTTGAATGTATTTTAATAGACTGAATCATGCAGTGTAAGAAGGCACTGTAAATGCGCACGCGCACTAGACTTCACGTAATGCGTGCACTCTGTAGGTGTTTTGAATGTTTTTTTTGCGTCGTGAGAATATTGAGCAAAATAGCTCACTTGTCATGGTGTTACTTAACTATATCATGTTACGAATAAACTAAGCATTTTGAATGTATGTGTGCTGTTTAGTGGCAGGTGCAACAGTCGGCACCAACAGTCTACCATCCTTAGCCTGATCGATCCCTTCGCTTTCTCCTCATCTCTTCAGTTATCCAGGTTTCAGCAAGAGCGCCTAAACCTGATATACTGTAAGTTCTTTGACGCAAGTGATTGTGACACACAAAACGAACTTCCTTCACGTCTGGGAAAAATGTAATTGTAAGCTTACTAAACTGTAACAGAAGAGAGTACAATTTCTCACTGCCATTATAAATTAAACAAAGATTTAACATCTGAACCACAGGTTCCATTCCACATTCTCTCTCTCTCTCTCTTACATATATATCAAATTAAATTTTTATATTATCCTGAACCCAAGAAAACTTATTCAAACAATTACACTTTTAAAGTGATAATTCACCCAATGTCACCATTTACTTATCCTTGTGTCGTTCCAAACCTGTATGACTCCCTTTACTGTGAAACACAAAAGAAAATACTTTGAAAAATGCTGGAAACGTGTCTATAGGGTAAGTTGAATATAGGCATCTGGACATATATAACAATTTAAAAAATGTAAGAAGTACCAGTCCTGTATTTCCTGTTTTAAGGCAAATTCAAGAATCAGCCAAGAAAATGGTTAATGTTTAGATTATTTTAATTAAATAAAAATCTCAAATTTCATTATATTAAATTTGTTGTATAAAAAATTTAAAAGTTTACAAAAAGATAATTGATTCTGGATTGAATGAACTAAGACATTATTATTCCATATTCTATGCAGCAAAGTGACACATACTGGCACATTCTTTACCTCTACCCTCCCACCTGCCCTATGCACTGGTTCTGAATTAGAGCAATTTCATCAGGTTAAGGGGATGCCACAATATTTTTACACTAGGTGTCTTCATCATTTCTCCACCATCCCCTCCTTCTCTTCTTTTTGTTGGGCTTCCAGTTTTCGTGTCTTAGTGAGCTGCCTAGCTGTCTAGTGCCTACATAGGCACACTGTTGTGGCAGATGACTGATATGCTGAACAGACTAAAAGTGACAGTTGAAGTCAATATATTATGTCCTCTGAATTCTTTCACTGGCCAACAGTCCACACCAATCCATTGTCCAATTGAGTTTGTCCATCTGTCTGAAGTAGACTTAGTGGCCATTCATTCACACAGGAGGTGTTTCTGTATTTCATCTGCCCTATTTCTAATAGCTGTTTTGTGTACATATGCAGACTGACAGCTTTAATGATATTTCATGGAAAGTCTTTGACATACGTGTTTGTATGTTTACACGCATGCAAAAAAACAAAACAAAAAAAAAACGTGGTACAATTCATTATATAAAATAAACTGTACAAAATTAATTGTTCTACATTAATAAATTGACAACCCCAGTTTTTATGCTAGTATTTGCCTATTACTTCTCCTCCACACCTTCTTCAAGCACACGCTCACCATCCTTTTTAACCTGCTGTGGGGTGTCGTCATTATTTCCTTCACCATCTTCTGTTATTTTTGATGACCCTCGAGTGTTTTCTGTCTCACAATTGACACTACTACCTTCACGTGGCTCTAGTTGACAAATGTTTTTCTGTTCCTCTTTCACAGCTGATAAAACTGAGCCCATTTCGCCTCCCTCACTATAAACAGTATCATCACATTCTGTACTGCACTGTTTGTTCAAATCCTGTTCCCTGATTTCTGAACTATGAGTGTCTTTCATTGCATGTTTTGAGAAGCTGTCGGTCTCTGTTTCTGCTTTCTTGTCCTCTGGCACCGACATGTCATTGTTTGTGTTGTCTGGATCACTGTTCTTTTCATCACAATCTTTTAAATGTTTGTTATTTTTTGTCTCTGTAGTTTCTGGAACATCATTTTTCTGCTTCATGCCTTGTTCTGACTCACAGCTCTTGTCTGTCTGTTCAGCATCATCATCTTCCTTTTGAGGCAACCCATCATTGTGGCACTGCTGCTGTGAGACACTGTTGTACTGTATTGTACTGTCTGGATCAGTTTGTTTGCCCTGTTTAGGCTCAGATAGCTCAGGGTCATGTTTGTTTTCTTCTGGCATTTGTTCCTGACCACCTTTCAGTTCCTCATTTGTTAAAACCTTTTCTTTCTCCTTCTGCTCCACTCCAGGAAATTTGCTTTCTTCCTCCATGTTTATATCTTGGTCTGTGTAATTACTTAGGCCAGTCTGATTTGAAGATGGGACACTGATGTTTATGGGTGCCTTCTCCAGGTTAGCTGGTGAATCTATAACAAAAATGAACAAGATAAGACAAGATAAACCTCATCTACTCATCTAACACAATATTAATTACTAAATCATTGCTTCAGAAACAGAGTTCTGCTTTAACAACTTATTTTTTCTGTGGAATACAAAAGGAGTATTTTAGAAATATCCACACAACTGTTGCCACACAATGTCCATGACTACCAAGCTCCAAAAGGACAATAAAAAACACCATCAAATCACCATGAAAGTATGATAAAAGTAGAATATACACCTCATGTGCTTTATTCAGTCAAGACATACGATAGCTTGGTGTGATAAACAGGCTGAAATTTCAATTGTTTTTCATTGAAGATTCTCCAAAATGCTGCCGATCTCAATCAAATATGGCACATCTTGATGAATGGCATCATTAAACATCAAAACTGATGTCTGGTGGCAAATCTGACTTCAGACTTTCAGTGTATAATATTTAGGTCTGCTCATCACATAAAGATATCATATGGCTTCAGAATACTTGTACAGCCAGATTAATGACTTTTATAATGCTATTTATTGCAGTTTGTGGAGCTTGACATATTGTCTTGAAAAGAGCCGTGTGAAGATTCTTCAAATTCTCATTTTGTGTTCCACTAATATCTATCATATTGGTGACATAAGTATGAGAAACAAATTGACCAAATTTTCAGTTTGATTGATCTATTCCTTTTTTTTACCTGCGTTCAGTCTGTCTATCACTTTTTCTTCCTCTTCCTCCTCTTTTTTCTCTCCAGGTGTCTGGTCTTCCTCATTTTTATCTGCATCTTGTGTCTGAATCTGCTCCTCAGGTGACTCTATCTGACTTTTCTCTTTCTCCATTTCTTCTTGGATTTGTAAGAATTTATGTCTCTCTCTGTCCGTTTCATCAGGTTTGCTGTTACCGTTTTCTTCTGCTTCATCGGCATTTTCGCTGTTTTTCTCATTTTTGTCTAGTTCTCCTTCATTTGTATTTCTTGACTCCTCGTTGTTTTTTTCTGTTATAGCAGACTGTGGACTTTCCTTCAAAAGTTTTTGTCCTTCATGAGTTTCTCCCACATTCTCCAATCCACTGTCCTGATCCCAATTTTTATCAGCAATAGATTCTTTTGGAGCTGTAAGTCTGATGCGACAAGGGAGTGTGGCATCAGATGAACCTAAAACAAACCACTCAAAGACCTTAACAGATTCAAGTGTCAACCTTGAAAGTCATTCATTCTCAGTCAGGGCTGAAAGTTTATAGTGATATACAGCAACATGAGCAACAAATGTGATGTTAGCATGTCTAGTTACAATACAAATACTAATAATTATAATAATAGTAAATCATTTGTTACCTGGCATAGCCTCCGTTGGGACATTTCTCAACAGGTTATCACATTCACCTACATTAACAGAAAACTGTTTTCATTATTATATAAAAAAATATTTAATTATACAAATGATCATGCTCTATTAACTCTCTATTTGAGTGTTTAGAACACTCTGTGTATAGCTGTGCTTATAAATGAAAAATACTGTCAGTTATTGGTCACTCATTGCAAAGTCCTTCCTATTTAAAAGGCTCAATGCATCGTCACATAATAAGACAGGCTATCACGCAAATTATACAGTATGAAAATATAGTTTGGTGAATTCCAGCTTCCAGGTGGAACCAAAAACTTGTGTAGAGCCGTAGATCTTTGCACATTTGAGAGCAATGGCTCCCATAAACTTCAACTGAAGCAGATCACGAACAGCACTATAATGTGGTATAACCCATATTCACAAAAAATATTGCAATGCAGAGAATATTTATATACAATGACAAAATATATTTCTGATAACATTTTAAAGGAAGCCAGACTTTCTGAACAGTCAAAAAGCAATTGCTAACTAGAGCTATACAAAAAGAAAAAAAAAGCTTACTAAAAGAACTGCTATTTCTGTTTTTATAAGACTATTTGAAATCATTTTTATGAGGATGTTTGAATTAAGCTAAAGTAAACGAAAAATAATATAACTTTAGTTTTGTAGAAACAGAAAATCAAGCAAAGAAGAAACTGTAATTTAAAAAAAAATCCAAAGTGAGAACAAACTCTTATCTTACCATTTTCAGGATCCATTTTTTTGAGTTCAGACTTCCTTGCTTCTCGTGCATGTACATGACAAAAAGAAAATTATGTTAATCTGTGTAATACAGGTGCATCTCAATAAATTAGAATGTCGTGGAAAAGTTCATTTATTTCAGTAATTCAACTCAAATTGTGAAACTCGTGTATTAAATAAATTCAATGCACACAGACTGAAGTAGTTTAAGTCTTTGGTTCTTTTAATTGTGATGATTTTGGCTCACATTTAACAAAAACCCTAATCTCTAAATTCTAATCTCAACAAATTAGAATATGGTGACATGCCAATACTGTCAAAGAAACCTGGGCTTCCATACCACCTCAGCAGTGCCACAAACTGATCACCTCCATGCCACGCCAAATTGAGGCAGTAATTAAAGCAAAAGGAGCCCCTACCAAGTATTGAGTACATGTACAGTAAATGAACATACTTTTCAGAAGGCCAACAATTCACTAAAAATGAAGTATTCTAATTTGTTGAGATAGTGAATTGGTAGGTTTTTGTTAAATGTGAGCCAAAATCATCACAATTAAAAGAACCAAAGACTTAAACTACTTCAGTCTGTGTGCATTGAATTTATTTAATACACGAGTTTCACAATTTGAGTTGAATTACTGAAATAAATGAACTTTTCCACGACATTCTAATTTATTGAGATGCACCTGTATAATCTCTGTGTTAGAGATGTATTTTGAAGGTGATTTGTTGAATACTTTTTCATGGCACTTACACTGTTGTTTTTTACGTCTGTAGAGGAATAATGCCAGCACAGCGAACACAATAATGAGAAGCACTGCTACTATTAAGACTGGAAAAAGCACAGGAGGGCTTACTCCGCCTGCAAACAAAACCATTCAAGAAATAGCATAAAGCCTCTAAATCAAAGTCTCAAGGTATTGTTGAATGATTTCTAGCAAACCTGTGGGGCAGTCTTGCAGAGTAAAGTCTGTGGTCCTGCTTCCAGCTTTATTCTTCACAGTGCAGGTATAGACTGAGTCACGGTTTTCCTCCTGTTCATCAACAAGAAGTGTTGGTCCCAACTGTTTTTTATTAGGTCCACTCCATTCATAGCTTGTCTGAGTCTGGGATTCCACTGAACAGGACAGTTTTTTCAAATTTGAAGTCTCATTCAGTTCACAGGTTACCTGAGGGTCTGGCAGAGCATCTAGACACAAAAGCAGATAGGCATTTAGTGATAATCAGCTGATATTTGGTCATTTTGAGATTATTAATCAACAATTAAAATGTATCAAAAAAAATAAATAATACATTTTCAGTGACTAATACACTTAAATTGTTTTAAATATTTTTAAAGTATAATAATAATAATGATAATGATAATAAACCCATATCACTTGACAATTATACAACACCGAAACTTTAGGAATGCACCATACAGTAGGTATAAGTGTGCTATGAATTAAATTAGCTGTTCATGTCTTCTCCAAATTGTACTGAAAATTATTACTACACAGAATTTAGGAAGTCAAACATTTCCTGATATATACAGTAAGTGGTCTATTCACAGTACTACTAGGTACTAATCTGCACATAATCATCTGAGATATACAGATAGCTTACCCAAAACTGACAAAGTATGACTGGAGGTTTGAACCTTCCCATTGATTGAAATTTCAGACTGATATTGGCCACTGTCTTGGCTGCATAGTTTTCTTATCTTGAGCTGTCCTGTTTCAAAATCAACATCTACACGATCTTTAAATGATCCATATTTCAACACCTGACTCCCGTCATACTCCAGAACCTTGTTGTTATTATGTATCCACAGTATATCTTCAGGCTTTCCACGGATGCTTGGAGTAAGTGTGATCTCGTTTCCACTTTCGCCATAGTCATCACAAAAAACTAAATCTATAGGAGATGGGGAAAAAATAACAACTTCTAACACTCTATGGGGGAATCTCAGAAAAACAAAAGACAAATATTTATAACGACAAATATATATATATAGATAGACAGATAGATAGATAGATAGATAGATAGATTTTATATTTCTGTATATCTATAAGTAGACATAAAAAATTAAGATTTTTTTATTTGTTTATTTAATCAGTATTTACTTGGTATTATCAGTAAATTATCATTATTTTATCAGTATTATTTCATAATGGTCTTAAAATCAACATTTAATCAATATTTTTTTAAAAAGGGACAAACCCAGCTATTGGGTTGTTTTGACCCAGCGGTTGGGTTGTTTTGAACCCAACAGCTGGGTCAAAACAACCCAACAGCTGGGTCAAAACAACCCAATAGCTGGGTTTGTCCCTTTTTTAACCCTGCGCTGGGTTATATTTAACCCAGCATTTTTTAGAGTGTACTGTATAATGTCTCAAATTAAAATAATAAAAACAATAGATACTCCAGTTATAAATAATTTCCAGTTAATATTCTTAATGGCAACAGATTTCATTTTCGTTTTACAAAATATAATTACTTATTTAATTCTTTTGATTTGGGGGTGAAATATGACCTGGACATGTTCTTGGTGTGTTTCATTAATCAACAAGTTGCTACCCTGCGATTTTTAGTTATTTATTTGGCTGACAACAAACATAATGTTGTCAACAAACAACAAATCACTTTTTGTTTTTATTTTAAATTAGACATCACTATAATTAATCTTATTAATGGAAGGTTTTATACTTTATCTGTACAGAAGATCACAGAACAGATTCAGTAAAAAGTTCAGTGAAAGTCCTTAATTCAAAGAGAGAATGCAGCAAAGCTTACACACGTTCAACTTTTAATTTTGTTATTCTGACTTCAAATATGCCTTAAATGGTACTCTGTTATCTAAAATAATTCTAAACCAAATCCACAATTCTTTAAACTATGACTCATTAAATAAATAGATAGATAGATAGATAGATATTATCAGATAGATAGATAGATAGATAGATAGATAGATAGATAGATATTATCAGATAGATAGATAGATAGATAGATAGATATTATCAGATAGATAGATAGATATTATCAGATAGATAGATAGGTAGATATATATATAGATAGACAGATAGATAGATAGATAGATAGATAGATTTTATATTTTGCTATAAGATTATTAAGCATGTTTTATTATTTTCATTGTAGCATTATTTTAATATTTCCATTTTTTTTTTTTCATTTTCAAAAATGCTTTAACAAGTTTCAAGACATTTCCCCCACAAATTCTCATTGCAGTAATGTGTCCAAGTGTTTTATATTGACTGACACTGATTGTCATTACTTTAATAAAGCAATCTATACACTCTAAAAAATGCTGGGTTAAATATAACCCAGCGCCAACAAACATAATGTTGTCAACAAACAACAAATCACTTTTTGTTTTTATTTTAAATTAGACATCACTATAATTAATCTTATTAATGGAAGGTTTTATACTTTATCTGTACAGAAGATCACAGAACAGATTCAGTAAAAAGTTCAGTGAAAGTCCTTAATTCAAAGAGAGAATGCAGCAAAGCTTACACACGTTCAACTTTTAATTTTGTTATTCTGACTTCAAATATGCCTTAAATGGTACTCTGTTATCTAAAATAATTCTAAACCAAATCCACAATTCTTTAAACTATGACTCATTAAATAAATATTTCCGTGAATGCCTGTTGTCGTTTCGACAAAACCAGAGGTAGGCCTATCCGTTTCCCACACCGTTCATTGCACCTGGCGGGTTTAGGCTAAAATATGCTATTTCCTTGAATTACGAGTTACTTCACCTCCGCTCCATGTTTAAACAGATTCTGGACTTACCTTGAGCCAAACAGGAACATGTAATGTAAACCAGAAACTTAATAACTGCCATCTTCCCTCGAGAGTGTGTGTGGGGTGCTATGGCGACCAGTCAAGGCTAAAACCCAGAACAACTGAACATTAAAAAGTTGCCACAGTGTCTCGAGGTAGTGAGAAAAGAAAGTAAATAAAAAAAGGGCATCGAGCGACCTTCGAAATGGGCGGAGACTGAAGGTGAACGCACCTTTATAAGTGACGCAAGCAGTAGGCTAAACGATCTGTGCGTGTTTTGGTATTTCTTCCATGATAATATTTACACTAAAAGCGACCGCAGGAAATATCACACAAATAATATGGATTAGCGAATACCGAATTTGTCAGAATGAGAACCTGCTCTTTTGCTAACAGTGATTCGAAAATAATATCCTTAAAATTATTATTTTTACATTTGTAAATAAATAAACAAACAAACAAAAACGCAATACTCTTTTTTTTTTTTTCGTGGACTTCCTCTTGGGGCCCCCAACTTGTCACGGACCCATGTGCCCTGTTTACTCAACTCTTTACTCTGCACACCGCATATCAGCTCTGCTGTAGCCTATGCTCCCCCTTCACCTGTCCATTTGATCTGTTAGTGACATATACAGTATGTACAGGATATTGCACCCTATGTGAAGTTATCCACATTCAACCTTAGGATTGCATTATGGATTTACATTTTGCCTTTCTGTCCCTAATACCTTCACATTTCCTCCAGACGGCAGCATTGCACCGCAAGACTGACAGCATGTCACGTACAGCTGCACTAAAATTGGGAACACAATTGTGAGTCCTAAATTAATTTGATACAAATAACCTGCCCAGAAATCTATTGTAAAACAAATATATAGATTGGCCATGCATGAAATGATGCTATGTTCATTTGAAAGGGATTCGTCTTATTCAAAGGGAACAAAATGAAAATAGCTACATTTGTGTGTTTTGTAAACTGTTTACATATCAAGGAATAAAATACACAATAAATGTGTCAATTCAAAAACAAACATGCTTTTCACTATTGTTATATTTAAATGCTTGTTACACTTTATATGAAGGTGTCCTTGTTGTGATGTAATTATACATATAAGTACCGAGTAATATTAATTAACTACATGGTTAGGATTAGGATTTGGATTTGGCTTGGGCTTACTTGCATGTAATTATGCATAATGAATTGTTATTATAATATTAAGTACATGTAACATATGTAACAAGGACACCTTAAAATACAGTGTTACCAAAATGTTTTATTTAATATTTAAAATCATGGCATGGAATCTACAAGGAAGTTTCCAAACAATAACAAACCTTTTCTCTCTCTCTCTTTTAGTTGCCTTGTAAATGAAGAGAACATATTTATTTTTCCATTTATATATTTTCCCTTAGCATAAACAATAAATGTTATATTTAGATCGAATTATATAACCACCTCTGAATAAATTTCTATCCCTAAACATAGCCCATAAATTATCCCTAAAACCACGGGGAAATGATAGGTGAATGAGAAGCCTTGTTGTAAGCCTAAATTTGACATTAACTGTAAATCGCACTCAGATCTCTCAAATCTGATTGGTTGGGTGGAGTGTTGTTCCAGGATCAGCAAGGATGTTGATTAAGGAACATGTTTAACTTGGTGAAATCATGTTCACTCACCCCCACACACTCTCAGGGACGCACACACAGGAAATTATACCACTTTGAGCTTGTCATCTTAAAACAGAGCGACTCACTCAGAGACCGAGGGAAAATGCTGCTAAACTTGACATTAATTCTCTTCAGTTTAATCTTCATGTTCCCCCCTGGTAAGTTGTTGTTAAGTTATATACTCTATATTTAATATTTCTGGAATACCACTTGTCTGTTTACAGACAATTTTTCCTCTTAGAGAATTCTATGTACACCAAATAAAAATTGTTTTGCATGCTTTTTGCCTTTGGATCGAATTTTTGTTTCATTTATCATTCCTCAAAGTTGTGTAACAGAAACATAAACCTCTTTTCTGCTTTTTACAGATAGTAGATGGTTTGTTTTTAAACAATTTTGTTTGCTTGCGAGTAGAAATCATTTGCATTTAATAGCATTTCATATGGTTTCATATGAATAATTTATTCAGTCATCTCATATAAGATTGATTCCTTTGGGTAAAACCATTTGCTTGCAAGTAGAAATCAATCACATTTCATTGCATATCCTATGGTTTCATATAAATTATGTATTTACTCATATTTCTCTCATGTAAGATCCGTTCTTTTGAGAATTTTTTTTATTTTTTTATATTAGACTAACCCTAACTTAGACTCTAAAAATGTTTTATGCATTTAAAGGCCTACATGCAACAAATGCCAATAAAGACAAAGAAAAAGAAGTGAACAACAAGAGTGGAAATAAAAATACAAATGGTAATTGCCTATTTCCCTCACAAAGTTCCTTATGACCGTGTTTCCACCACAGAATAGCCACTGAGGAATTTCCATCATGGAGTTCCTTTTATTAACATTAAATGTTTGTCAAATTAAATGATATACACATATTACATACATTTCCATAATTATTGTTAAAATATTATTGTGCAAAAGTGGTCATATACTATATTACACAGTACTTTTTTTCCCGATCTGTCAAATATTTGTGTATAATAATGCTAATCTGTATAACAGACTGTTGTCACGGTTGATTTCCTGCATCACTGTGATTCATGTCTCTGAAATTACTACAGTCTCATTCCTCACATATTAAAATACTTTCAGCTCAGACTAATATTTCATGCTCAGTTATTTGGGAAGCAGATATGTAATAAATGGGACAATGTACAGCCAGATGATCAGGTGTTTTAGGTGTTTATGTTGTGATAACGAGTGGCTCAATCTAAATTATCCCTTATAGATTAAAATGAATCATTGTTTTTTTTCCCCCTCCATTATTTGGCATTTCATGAAATTATAAATGCTGGTCCTGATATTGTTGATAATTTACGTTGTTTGTATGTTTTCATTTCTTAGATGCATCTCAGAAGAAATTTCTATTTGGCTTGGATTTATGGTGGATGCTGGTGATCCTGACAAGGGAAGTTTCCTCCTCATACTCTTCATCATCTGCCTAGTCTGATGACCAGCATCATCTTCTGGCTAGTTATAAATACCATAATCTAACCCTAACTTCAACAGAAACCGTTCTGCATTTTTACAATTTCAAAAAAAACTTTGTTCTCATTGGATTTTCTCCTGGCGCCCCCTACTGGTCATGGACTCATGTGCGCCGAATGCTCCATATTAAGCTAGATTTTCCCATGCTTCACATTTAACTGTACATTTGATCTGCTATCTGTTAGTAATAAGTACTTGTGGATATGGCAACTTACACAGTGACTTACATTAAACCTAAGGATTACAAGATTTCTTTGCATTTGCCGCTCTTCACATCTCCTCCAGGTGGCAGCATTGCACTGAGACAGTGACCGCACGTCATTGTTCCATTGAACTGGTATTGGGAACCTAATTGTGAGTGACAAAATTAATTTGATGGAAATAACCTGGCCAAAAAATGCAGAGTGTAAAAATAATTTTTCATAGTCGTTTTTTATACCAAAAGATTTACAATGATTGCGATCTGTTGCAAAATAAATACATAGACTGGCCATGAAATATGTGTTAAAATGTGAATAATGCCTATCTGTGGTCCATCCATTCATCCTCTGTAGGGTCACGGGAGGGCTGGAGTCAATCCCAGCATCTCGGGACCAAGGCAGGGGACTCTTTGGTCTCTGGTCAGTGATATCTATATTGTAATGTGTTAAATTCTTAAAAGGATTTGACTTATTCACAAAATGTATTATCAGCATTTGTTTTTGTGTAAACTTTTGTTTGTTTGTAATCTTGTGTTCATAACAAGAACTAGAAGTACCTATTGACAATAATAATATGTCAATTAAAACACATAGACGTTATTGTTAAATTAAGTGTTTTATTTAATTCATGTTTAAAAAACATGTCAATCTTTATAATAATCTAATAATGACTGAAGAATGAATTGATACATAAGTGGAATCCATCCAAACCTCTGAATCAGGGGCGGACTTACCCATTAGGTAAAGGTAGGCGACCGCCTTGGGCCCCCAAAAGCCAACGTTCCAAAAGCGCCTCCTACTGGCAGAGAATGAGTGTTCATTTTCAATAATCCAGTCTGTAGTTTTTGTTCAATGCGAAAATCCACCCACATAACCCCGTTTTAAATTAATATAATAATTTATACGTCTGACGCTCAATTGTGAGGTTTATCATTTTATAATTTATAAAATTGTGAATGTGAAAACCTGTATCTCAACTGTAAATCAGTTGCTATTTCGTGGTCTACAACATGAAAGAAAGCCATTATAACATGCACATGAAAAATGTAGAAACATTTGACACAACTATGGGGCAGCATTGTGCAGCAGCAAGCATCACAACAAAAAATGAACCTCAAGGTTGATCTAGGAAACTGTGTGCAAATGTATAGGGCCCCATTCCTATATTTTGTCTAGGGCCCCCAATTCACTAAATCCGCCCCTGCTCTGAATACTCTGTTAGTACACTGAATTACTGGCTGTGTATTGACACTCCCACACACTCCCAGAGATGCACATACAGGAAACTGTACCACTGTGAGCTTGTCATCTTAAAACAGAACAACTCACTAAGAAATCTGCGTGAAAATGCTGCAAAACCTGACATTAACTCTCCTCATCAATTTAATCTTCATGTTCTCCCCTGGTAGGTTGTTGTTGTTAAATTATATATTTTCTTAAATGTCACGTGTCTGATTATAGACAAATGTTCTTCTTAGTTAATTATTAGTAAACCAAATAAAAAATCTTTTGCATGGTCTTTGGCCAAATTTTAGTTTCATTTATCAGTCGTCAAAAATGTGTAACAGAAACTTACACCTTTTTTCAGATTTTTATGGATAGTTTGTTTATAAACAAATTTGTTTGCTTGCAAGTAGAAATCAATCACATTTCATTGCATTTCCTATGGTTTTATATAAATTATGTATTTACTCAGTCATATTTCTCTCATGTAAGATCCGTTCTTTTGAGAGAGAAAAAAAAAACGTTTTAATATATCACAGTCGTTTTCCCACGATTGCGTTCAATCAAATCATGTCATTAGAATATAAAGGTCAA